ATACTCAGGAATAGCTAATACTAGGGGATCCCCTAGGAATGAGTATTCCCCCTACAAAGAGAATAGCTCATTCCCGAGAATGCTTTTCTCATGAATAAAATAAGAGTTTTTTTCCCAAAATGGTCCCTCAACTATCGCTCATTCTCAATTTTGCATTTCGACTTTTAATTGCACCCAATGTGGTCCCTTGACTTTTAAAAACTCCCGCAAATTGGTCCTCCGTTAGAAATTCCGTCTATTGAGTGTTAGAATGAAGGGCATTTTTGTCCGTTTACCTATTATATGCCTAATATACTCTGAAAAATAGTCGAGGGACCATTTTGGAAAAAATTCATTTATTTATTTCCATTTTTTTAAGACTATCATATTAGAATTTCTATAGATTTTTTTTCTTACAAATATAAATAGTTTTTAAACTTTTCTCTACAATTTTTTCCTTATGTCTAAACATACAAATTTTTCCTCTATCCCTATCAAGTTTTACAATAAGTTTCGTACTTTGGTAAACAAGTTTACCTTTCAAATTTAAGTTTATTAATATTCATATATAAAATACAAACAAACTTCAAAATGACAAGAACTTGTAATATTGAAAAATGATGAGGCTTTAGGTTTAGAATTGCTTGTTTTGTGCTAATTATTTTTCCATTTGGTTTATTTTACTTGTCCTTTAACACATAAAATTGATAGTCATAGTTGTAGACTCTCTTTAGCATGATGTACTTCTTGGTAGATAGGCATTTGGAAATGGTAGTTATGATTTGTACTAACTTTGGAATGAAACTAATGGCCTTGCAAGCAGTGACGGATCCAGAAAAAATTGTCAGTGGGGGCAAAACATTATAGTTTGAAAAACAATGAAACACTTAAGAAATATAGTCATAAAATTGTTAGATATAGACGAAAAATAAAATACATTAAAACTTTATAAAAGTATTCATAACAACATATGAAACATAATTAATTTAATAAAATAATTCAAATAAAAAACAAATTATAAAGAAACACTTATGTTGAAAGTAATGGATTTAATGAAGCAATTAAAGAAACCCTTATGTTGAGCTGAAACAGAAACAGTTAGGAAAGGGATGGGATTAATGTTGAGAGAGGAAGGATTCGAACCACAGACGTTTCCTAAGCTCAAACATGCCTTTGCCAACTCGGCCAACTTAACTAGTAATTACTCTTATCAGTTTTCAAATATTTATATGTAAAACATGTACTATAAATACATATATACATACAAAGGCTATATGTGGGGTGGGGGTGGGGGTGGGGGTGGGGTGAGTGGGGGCAGCTGCCCCCACTGCCCCCATGCTAAATCCGCCCATGCTTGCAAGTTAATTTAAGTCAACTTTTCAAAGATATTTTCTAAGATTTTGTCATTGACCGAGAAGTGACGCGTACTTCTCAGTTCCAAGAAGTGCTAGAAGCATAGCGATTGATTGTAAAAATAATAATGAGAAATGAAGCGTACATTTTGGGTGTCTAAACTGATAAAAATATTAATGTTATATTTAGTGATAAAAATAATATTTAATGTGATACATAGTGATTGATTGTCTATTGAAGTTTGTGTGTGTGTCTATATATATATATATATATATATATATATATATATATATATATATATATATATATATATATATATATATATATATAAACATAAAAAGTATATGAGTATTATATTTTTGAAACTTACGGAACTTATTGTAAAACTTGATAGGAATAGAGGGAAGTTGGTATGTTTAGATAGAAGGAAAAAATTTGTAGACAAAGTTTAAAATTTTGACTTTTGATTGTGGATTTTAACTATTTATATTTGTAAGAAAAAAAAAATGTATAGAAATTATAATTTGATAGTCTTAAAAAAATGAAAATAAACAAAAATGAAATAAATAAATGAGTTTTTTCCCAAAATGATCCCTCGACTATTCCCAAAATGGTCCCTCGACTATTTTTCAGAGTATATTAGGCATATAATAGGTAAACGAACGAAAATGCCCTTCATTTTAACACTCAATAGACGGAATTTCTAACGGAGGACCGATTTGGGGGAGTTTTTAAAAGTCAAGGGACCACATTGGGTGCAATTAAAAGTCGAAATGCAAAATTGAGAATGAGCGATAGTCAAGGGACCATTTTGGGGAAAAACTCAATAAAATAACAAAACAAACAATGGAATAGGTCTATTCCCCGGAATGGTATTCCATTCCCGACCTATTACATGAACCAAACACACCATAATATTATAGAGTATAGATAGATGTATTTATGGGTCGTTATATCGTGCACCGCGGTGCATAATCGATTATGCACCGCGCGTCAGATACTACAGTGTGTCTAAACCGACACTGGCTCACGTATTATTTTTATATTATCAAATGAAAATACAGTTATATCAAAATGATACTGTAGTTGTAGTGAAATGAAACTACAGTATATATAAAATGAAATTGAATAATATTTCACATATTTGAGTGTATATTGTACAATGAAGTTATAATTATATTAAAATGATCATGTAGTTGTGTTTTAATGAAATTATAGTGTATATAAAATAAAATTAAATAATATTTTCACATATTTGAGTGTATAAATATTTAATGAAACTGTAGTTATATCGAAATGAAACTGTAGTTGTGTTGAACTGAAACTGCAGTGTATACAAAATGAAACTGAAGAACATAGTTATTTTTTGCGAAGATTCTGTTTCTTTTCATTAAATAAAACGACGTCGTTTTGAAAGTGTCGGTAGTGTCTGTGCATAATTGATTATGCACCGCGGTGCACGATATAATTTTCTTTTATTTATCGGTCGTTATATCATAGACCGCGGTGCATGTGCACCGTGGTAAAAAACGGCGCTGTTATAGTTAACGAAGTCCGCTTGTTTGGTGTATTAAACACCAACTGACACTACAATATATCTAAACCGACACTGCAGTTATATCAAAATGATACTGTAGTTATAGTGAAATGAAATTGCAGTGTATATAAAATGAAACTGAATAACATTTCACATATTTGAGTGTATATTGTACAATGAAGTTGTAATTATATCAAAATGATCATGTAGTTGTGTTTTAATGAAACTATAGTGTTTATAAAATAAAATTAAATATCATTTTCACATATTTGAGTCTATAAATATCGAATGAAACTATAGTTATATCGAAATGAAACTGTAGTTGTGTTGAACTGAAACTGCAGTGTATACAAAATGACACTCAATAACAAGATTACTTTTTGCAAAAGGGTGCGAAACGACGAAAAACAAACACCGTTTCTTTTCATTTAAAAAAAAGACGCACAGTACATGATTGATCATGCACCGTATAATTTGCCTTGATTTATGTAACCAAACTCTAGCTCATTTATTAAACATATAATAATGCTCTATTATTAAGCCCATTTATTTAACCACGAAATCAAAGTCATTACTCATATTACCAAAATTCGGCCCGAAAAACAACCCAAATATCTAACCATAGACCCAACCCATTATATATATAATCAGCAAATCCCTAACCCTAATCTCCGCCCTCTGATCCTCCGGCTTCTCCCATCTCTCTCTTTTCTTCCTTCTCCGACTTTCCGCGCCCTCGGCTTCTCAAGATCTCCGCCCTCTGATCCTCCGGCTCTCCGCCCTCTTTTCTCTTGCTCAAAGTCTCGTGGTCAGCTTTTTTGCTTACCTCACCCTTTTCTATTTATATTTTTTATTGTATGGGTAAATTGGTTCTTGAAATAAACCATTTTGCTATAGGCTAATCTCCGCTTTTATTTTCTTTCTTCATTCCCCATTTAAATATATATTCTAACTATTATTTTTTTTCATATACAAAATTACTGAATTTTTATTTTTTTTTTAAATTAATTCAAACATTTTGTAAGGGGAAATATAAGACTTAAATATTTGATTAATACGGTTTGTATGTATTTGTGTGATATATATGTGTTTATTTATTTGTTTATTATAGAAAAATCGATCCCAGGTTTATGGAATGGGGGTGCTGAGAATTTCCTCATCCCCGATACGGGCCCCGATCCAATTATATATATATATATATATATATATATATATATATATATATATATATATATATATATATATATATATATATAAAACATTCAAAAAATAAAACTTTAATCATAATTCCTAATCGGCTAGCAGTACTGTAATAGCCACTAACTCCCCAGGTAAACTGGTTACTACATACCTCTATCTACTTCTGTTCTTCCACTTAGATTTTTATTAACAATGTTATACCTACTTCTAAAATAACCCACAATTTTTTCCAAAAAAAAAAAAAGAAAGAAAAGAGAAGAATTTAAAATTACTACGGAATATAATATATCCAGACTTCCACCGGGAAATAGGTTTTATTGAAGAAAATTTGCAGCATTAACCATTGTCAAGGCTTAACAATTTAGACTTTTGATAAGTTTTTTTTTTCATGGTCATAATTTTAAAAATGTGTGGGTCGCGCTGCCTGTGAGAAGTTGAAGGTTTTAAGTGCCAATCCTGAGGCACCTCTGAATATAGAGTGCTTGATGGATGAGAAGGATGTTGTCAGGGGTTTCATTAAAAGAGAGCAAATTAGTATTCCCATATTGGAAAGAGTGAAGAAGCCATTGGAGAAATCTATTGCAGAAGCTGGACTTGCAGTTGAAAATATTCACTCTATTGAGGTTATTGGGTCTGGATCACGAGTACCTGCTATTATTAAGATTTTGACAGAGTTCTTTGGTAAGGAGCCTAGGCGTCCAATGAATGCAAGTGAATGTGTTTCTAAAGGCTGTGCATTACAGTGTGCCATTCTCAGTCCAACATTTAAAGTGCGAGATTTTCAGATAAATTTTATTGGATCAGCTCCTTTTAATATTGATCTTTATTCCTTACTGTTGAGATGTCTGGTCTTCAAGGATTTCCAGTGGGGTGTACAGTCTAACATTTCCAGTTAGAGAGTTTGTAAAGTTTTCTTTCTTGTTGGTTGTAGGTCAATGAGAGCTTCCCTTTCCCAATTGCTTTGTCCTGGAAAGGACCTTCTCCAGATGCCCAAAATGGAGCTGCTGAAAATCAACAGGGGATCCTATACCAAGTGTGAAAGCTTTGACATTCTACAGATCTGGCACATTCTCGATTGATGTACAGTATGCTGATGTCAGTGAACTACAGGCACCTTCAAAAATCAGTACTTACACGGTAATTAAGTTTGTTTTTTATCTGATCTGTGTAATATGTAATTTACTCTGTAATACATAAAGTAAGAATTTGATAATGTTTATGCTCATAATACTGTTACTGCATTTATGGACAGATTGGTCCTTTCCAATCTGGGAAGGGCGAACGTGCAAAGCTGAAGGTCGCTTGAATCTGCATGGTATTGTTTCTGTTGAGTCAGCAACTGTAAGTAACGAAGTTTCTCTTGGTGACTGGTGAAAATACTTTTTTACTGTTGTACAAATCTTGATTGATTTCTTGTGAATATTCTCTAGCTTCTAGAAGAAGAGGTGGAAGTACCAGTTGTTAAAGAACAATTAAAAGAATCAACCAAAATGGAAACTGATGATATTCCTGCCCAAGATTCCTCTGAAATTGATGTTAACATGCAAGATGATAAAGTCACATCAGATACTTCTGAGAATCATGTCCCAGAATCTGGAGACAAACCAGTTCAAATGGAGACTGATGCTAAGGTTTGTTATATGTTGTAATACAGTTGCTCTTTCCTTTGATTTTGTAACCTATCCTGTTATTCAATCAGTACCTTACAGTGACTGCATCTTATATCAGCGGTGCTTACCAGAGATTCATTGTCACCTTTTCAGGCTGAGGCCCCAAAGAAAAAGGTCAAGAAAACAAATGTACAAGTCTCAGAATTGGTTTATGGAGCCTTGTCACCTGCCGTGTACAGAAGGCGGTGGAAAAAGAATTTGAAATGGCATTGCAGGATCGTATAATGTAAGAAAATTTCCCGTTCCCAAAAAATCCTCGAGGTGACGGGGATGGGTCTATAGCCTTGGATGACGGGGATGATGAGACCCTATTCCCCGCCCCGTTGCCAACAAGATATAGGGAGTATTTTGGCCGACAAGACCCTATTCCCAGCCCCCGCCCCCGTTGCCAACAAGATATAGGGAGTATTTCTGCCAACAAGACCCTATTCCCTGCCCCCGTTGCCAAAAGATATACGGAGTATTTTGGCCGACGTGACCCTATTCCCAGCCCCCGCCCCCATTGCCAAGCCAAGCCAACAAGATAAGGAGTAATGTCAAACAACTACTAGAGTAATGTCAATCAACAAGATAGGGAGTAATGTCAATCAACTAGATAGGGAGTAATGTCAAACAACTACTTGAGTAATGTCAAACAGCTACTAGGGAGTAATGTCAATCAACAGGATAGGGATTAATGTCAATCAACCACTAGGAAAGGAAAAGAGAGAGCATGGAGAGATTGTAGTCATAGGTACGCAGCTCCCTCCCCTATAGAATCTGTGGTAGAATAGAATCTGCAGGTAAAAAATTAACAATTTTATTTTTGTATGATTTTTTGGTAGTATAATGTTTGAGATTGTGGAGTTTTTAATTTTTGTTTTAAGAGCATATATTGGGCATACCATTGCTCTTCTTCCTCGACATTTGCACGTGGAAGTTTATCGTGAACGTGGTTGATAGCACTCTCTATGTCAGCTACCTGAAAAAGTAGGAAATTAATTTGGTCCAATAAACCCAATAAGAGGTAAAAAAAAAAAATAAAAAATTACCGCAGTAAAAAATATAACCAAATATCGTGTCATTTGTGACTTTGTGTGTAGTTCCATCAGCAATTCATTTCTCGCAAAATTGTACTGAGTATTATTTATTTATTTAGTGTACATACATGTGTATACACCTATAAATTTATATATTTAGAGACCAACTGAAGAAACCATGTAGTATTGCTCTTAGTGGTAGCTTGTTTCACCCAATTTAAAAAAAAATATTTTTGTGGAATGTTATTTTAATCTACCTTTTTCCAGTTGTAAATATTATTACTATTGTCAAAATGCATGAGGCAATATACACATCATATTACAACGTAAAGACAAGATAAAACTTATCAAGAAATTTTTTTTATATTACTTTTTACCTAATTGTATATATCTAAACCCTCATGGTGTTTTTGTTAGAACGATTTATGTGAAAAAAAGTAGAAAATAATTTTGATTAGCATTAAAATTTAATTTAATGGTGAAAGAAAAAAATGGATTACCCTAGCTCCAATGAGGATTATCTTTCCCCCCTCTGATATGAGAAGTACAACGCTAGGGTTCGTCATCCTGTAAATCAAGGGTGGATACAATCTTGGATTATACTGCATGAACAAAAACACTCATCAGGTTGCAACAAAGATTTTTTTTTAAAAAAAAATTGGATTACAAATTTTGATACTTACAATTGAAGAGCCACCAGTAAGTTCTGCGAAATCATCCAGTCTGATATGGAACTTCACATCACATGAAGCAACAATACTCCTAATCTGAATATCCTCCTCCTGGATATATACAAACGGTTAAAAAGTTTGGAGAATTTGAATTCATAAGAAAAGAAAAGGACACGAACCTGACAGTTTACAGGAAAATCAAGCGACTTGATGAGCCTAGCATACTGAAAGAGCAATCAAATAGCAGTTAATAAATTCTGTTGTATGATTTATCATACTAAAAGTATTATCATACCATCATAGTGGCGGCTATAGATTGATCAACAGTCTTTGCTCCCGTGCAAGCCTAATTCAATAGCAAAAAGCAAAAAATAAAAAATAAAAAATAAAATAAAAATGAGATAACTAAAAAAAATTAACAAAGTATGAAGTGAAATCAAAGCATACCAACATCCCAGAATCAAAGCATGTAGCTGTAGTCCCTGCAGCTTCACTTTCTGAAAGTCTCAGGATAGTCATCTCCGTAAAAAACTGGAAAACATTAGCAAAGAAGTAGCAATCAAAATAAATGAATCAAAGTTATGAAACAATTAAAGTTTAAAAAAATGAAATAAGCAAACTTTTACATCATGATAATATGCGGCATCATTTTTTTTCATTGCGTTACACAACCTCTCAGCAACCTCTTGAGCATCCAATGCACAACCCAATCGTAAATTGGAGACAACATTCCTGGGATAGAGGAGGTAGCTTATAGATAAACATCGACACTATAAATAAATAAATAAATAAATAAATAAAACATATACTAGGTAGAAAACATACAGGATTGTTGGCACTGGAATTACATGAGGATTGGTCGCCATTACACGAATACGAAATGCAATTAACTCTACAAAAGATAGCAGCAAAGTATTATGAGATCTTGTGGTTTTTTTTTTCAAGTACAAGTTGAAATTTATTAAAGTTGAAAATATTTACAAATTTAGAGCCCAAAGTGACTCTAAAAGAACAAGGCCAAAGCCTAATACGATCAAAGGGTCTAAGGCTAACAAAGCTAAAAAAAAAAAAAAAAAAAAAAAAAAAAAAAAAAAAAAAAAAAAACAAAAACTAACAAAAACTTAAACGACAAAGTACATTTTTAATATACTAAATGTACATTATTTTTGTACTAAATATACATTATATAATATAATGTACATTCAATACAAAAATAATGTACATCTCCTGAATATAATGTATATTATTTTTGTACTGAATATATATTATTTTATAATATACAAAATATGATCTACACAACTTGTGAGTATCATGATTATGGTCCACACAATAATGCTTGAGCTTAAAGCTATTGGGCCGAAATAGCCTAAGTAAAATAGACCCAAGCTAAAGATTTTGTTATTTAATGCAACAGGGCCCTCCCCACAGTTTAAGGCCACTGCTGCCATTTTACTTTGTGCATTGTCAATCGTTATACCGTGCACGACGGCGCCAACCCAACCTTCTCCTTAATTCCTCTTGGTGTTCTCTCAAGGCCACCCGACCCCTCTTCCGGGCTCTAGCTCCTTGGGTTCATCTTAAGCTATTATTCCTAATATATGATCTGTTTTATTTTTGCGTGCTGCTCAAATTAGCTACATACATTTCAAAACACACAACTCTCACTGCATATTTAAAGAAAGAAATTTAGATTACTAGCTCATCAATAAGGGGTTACAAAGAAGCCATGATCACAAGCTAAATATACATTTTTTTCATTAAACAAGGAGAACTAGGATGAATTTTTTAGACAATTATAATCATTCTTTAGCATGATGTACGGAAATTGGGAAAGCTAAAGGCGCATAATGAGATCAATGAAACGGTGAGAGAATGAATTTCGTTCCTTGGTGTTTCGTGATCATTACTCATTCTCAGCAGCCTGCAAGTCCCCAACAAGATCAAGGGCCTTTTTATGGGTAGTCAAGCATGGGAGGAATATGTGCAATACTGAAAGGAAAAAGAGAGGGTTTACAACCGATGAGCGTTGAAGCACTTGCGGAGCAGAGAAGGAAGAAGTTGAGCACACGTTAAGAAGTTGCTCGCCAATATCTGGGAGAAAATCAAAGTGCTTGAACAACTAGGTACATCTCTATCTATGGATTTCAATAATTGGATTAACACTAATGTGTCAAGTACCGGAGGTGGGCAGCGAAGAAAGAAAAGGAACGCCAAGTTTGCAATCACGATTTGGAAGTGGAGAAATTAACATGTCTTCCAAGGGGTGGACAGGGATATCAAGTATCAAGGATAAACTTGACTGGCTCCAAGTCCAGTTCAAGGAGATTAAAAAAAAAAAAAAAAAAAAAAAAAAAAAAAAAAAAAAACTGAAATGGTATAAATGGTGAGCCATTCTGGCTGCGCTCTGAATCAAAAATTTATCTTTGCATTGCATATCAAATTTATCCTTGCATTGCACTCTAAGCTTGCATAGTAACTTCATTACAAAAGTGCCCATCAAGATAGACCATCCTCTTCAAATTTGGATAGTAAATTTATCCTTTAAACAAACCATTTAACTGCATAATGTGCAGACTATCATTTACAAACAAACCATTTATTTATCCTAGTAAATTAAATAAATGTCCTAACTAGCACAAATCATTTAACTGCATGATAAATTTATCAGTTTCATATATAATAAAGATAATGGTAGCATTAGAATGTCATATAACATAATACACAGCTCATGAGAAAAGTAAATATAAATATTAAAATGTAAAACTAATGGATTTAGAAAAAGAAATAGTAAAATAAGTAACAAGGAACGAGTTCTTCTAATGTATCCTAGGTTCAAATTGTGGCAGACCAGCAGTAGTTACCTTGTATAGCAGGAAGTGAATCAAGTGGATAATCTTTAAGAACCTGCAAGTTTAAACATAACTATCAGCATCATGCCATTATACAAATATTTTGCATCAAAAGGTCAGATTAACTTTGTAGCAATCAACAAAAAAATGGCATGACATGCAATCAACAAGAATAAAATAGACATCAAAGATGTTTATGATTACTTTTCCATCTCTGTTATCAATTCTTTTTATTTGGGGTAAGGGGTGTGGTCTTCTTGTCCCTAGTGTGCAAATATTCATTGTCTCAGCCACTGTTCCATTCCATTGAAAAGGCTATGTTTTAAGTTTCAGATTCAAAAGAAACACATTAACTACAAATGAAAGAAGTTCTGAAGCCACCTGCATCATCTCCTGCCCATTAATGAAAGAAGTTCTGAACCTGCAAGAATGTCCTCTAAAATGGATTCCTCTTCAAAACTGTACCACACGCCCATTTCTTGTGATTCTATATTATAATATGATTAACGTGTTCCCACAAATGAATATATGACCTACTTCGTTTTAATGAGATTAATGGTCCGGTTTAAAACCTCTTCATTGACTCATCAAATTTAGGAAAGAACTAATCAACAACTCTATCAATTATTCAACTAATAGCTATGCAACACAAACATGCAAAATATAAACATTTCATTTTACAATATATAGAATAATGCCCAAGAATAAGGCATCAGACTGGAGAAATTGAAGAGACAAAAAGAAGACCAAAAACATACATCATCACGGTCATCTTCATCATCATCATCATCAGACAAAAAGAAGACCAAAATTTCTTTTAGTAATAAGAGTATATATATATTACTTAATGCTACTGTGTACATAGCATTATGTAATATATATATATATATATATATATATATTTATTTATTTTAGTTATATTAATTATTCGGGGGCGGGGAAGGGTATCAACGTCCCCGTCGGAGAATTTTAAAAATTCTCCATCCCCGTCCTCGATTCCCGAAATTTTTCCCTGTCCCCGTCATCGTTCCCTACTGGGCCGGGGATCCCCGACGGGGACGGGGCATATTGCCATCCCTAGAGATGGCCGCCGTGGCCAGCCTTGGAGACCGCCTGATCACGGCTGGATCAACACTGACGGGCGAACTGGAAACACCACTGCTACATGCATGTGCGGGAGTGATCAGAAACAAATAACAAAAAAAACTACTGCAGTCATGATGCAATTCATATAATGAAAGATTTCAAAAACCTACCATTAAAAGATAGTTGATGTTGATCTCGACATCGCGCTATCATTAACAAATAACAAATAACAAGTAACAAACTAACAAAGTAACAAAGGAAATCGCAACTCACGCTTAGTTACTATTTACTAAATGTGAGAGTGAGAGGACGAACCAGTAAACCGCAGAGAGCCGGAGAGAGACCGGAGCTGGCCGCAGCGCGCAGGTCGCCGGTTAGAGCCTCGGAGGTCGTCGACTTCGCTCCTGTTTGCTTCGCGGTTCGCGCTGTCTTCGCACTTCGAATGAGAACGGCAATCAATAAACGACGATCAATCAAACGGGAGAGAATGTACCGCTAAAAGATCCTTGATGTTGACCGCGATTTCCGATTCCGCTTCTGTCGTCGACTTCGCTCCTGTTTGCTTCGCGGTGAAGAGAATAAGAGAATGAGAACGGCGATCAATGAAACGGGAGAGAATATACGGAGAGGATGCGATTTTATGAGGGAGCGCGAAATTCTGTTTCGACTTCCAAATTATGTATGTAACTAACAGGCCGCAGAGAGAGAGTACGTGATGTTGTGAGATAGCGGGAAATTCTGTTTCAACTTCCGAATTATACTTTTTGATCTCCATGAATACTTTTTGAGTACGTGATGTTGTGAGATAGCGGGAAATTCTGTTTCAACTTCCGAATTATACTTTTTGATCTCCATGAATACTTTTTTAATAAATTCCAAAGTCACGTTGATTGCAAGTTTAATAAATCCCTCACAGCCTAAGAAATAGTATTTTTGTCAGATTTTTATTTATAATTATAATATATTACTAGTTTTTCACACGCATTGCGCGATTGAGATAATGCCCAATGTTTATATTTTTATATAAGTACTTTAAGTATATCAATACAATATTATATTAGAGTTGGTCATACATATAGATAATCAAATGTTGAATTTGCTTATTTAAATAGATAATCTAAACTTACGAATGTAAGATAATGCAATTATGATTGATTATAATTGTCACTAAAATAATTGATTGTAATTTTCTAAATACATAGTCTAAAAATAATAGTGTAAATAACGCTAGTCTAAAAATAATAGTGTAAATAATGCTAGTCGAAAAATAATAGTGTAAATAAAATCTACATTTGGTTTAATAAATTTCTCTAAGCCTTCTTAATTCTCTTGAGGGGGGCATTGTCATTCTCTTGATCTTCACCTTCAGTACACATCCTCTTCTTTTGATTTGGTAGTGCGCCATGTTCAATTGTGTTAGTTGTAATATCATAGTGGGAAGCATCATGCAATGAGATTATACTGTAGGAAGAAGTGGATCTGCCTTGTTGTGTATATGCCTGAGATCTTAGTTGTACAACGAACTCTTGATCTTGTAGGCGCTTGTTGATATTTAGCAGTGGTAGTTTTTTCCCCTACATGTTTCATTCATTGTGAGATGTGTGCCATATATTCTCATGTGACAGAATTAAACGAAATATTAATATATTTGTAGAAGGTTCATGAATAGTACCTCTTGTTCTAGATCCATAACTTGTTTACTTGAATGTAACAACAATGACTCTGCAAGTAGTCCGAATACTAATGCCGCAATGTACCCAGTTTCATCAACAATTTCCACATCCAATTTGCACTTGTGCATTTTGTAGTTCGTATTTTTTGAATTGGTATGAATGAGTATAGTACTTAATCTTGTGTGTGTGTGTGTGTGTGTGTGTGTGTGTATTTTTTGTTAAATTGGTTTGTTGAATTGATACTAACCTTAGAGTACCCACCGCCCTCTTTTCACCACAATGCATACAGTTAAATTGCTGGTCACTTTGTGCATAAACCTTTTTTAAACAATGGCTACATCCTATATGCCAAGTGTTGTTATTGTCAAGGTTAATGCTGATTTTGCCCTTAATCCAAGCAGTCGAGACTATAAAATGAAAGTGATTGTTAATTTATATTTGTTTTGAGTAAATATATTTAAAGAATGCTCAATAAGTATTTTACTTACAGGATTAATGAACGGTGGAACGGTCGATATTTATTTCTTCCAATTGAAGCCTTTTATTTCTTCTTTTGCTGCTTTTCTAGCAAAAAAGGTCCTAGATTTTAACCAACTATAGAAGAAAATTTGGATCAATTGCTTTGGATATTTGTTGTTCCAAGTCCATATTTAGAACCTCATCACTTTCTTCATCTCCAATACTCATTTCATCATCAACCACTGAGAAAACTGAAATACATATTGGCATACTATTTTAATAAAAGGGTGGCCATCAAATATGTACAGTGTAATCACAAAAGGCATGTTAATGAGAACAAGTACAAGAAGTATATTTGAAGTACTTCCTTTACTTCCCATGCTTGATTTTCTGAGAGATGGGAGAGCTTCCAACAAAAATGCAGCAACAATTGCAAAATCAATAGCCTGGGGAGTTCAACAAATTAAAGGGGACTATTAAAAAATAAAATTAAGCCAGAATAATATGAAAACAGTTTGATTGATTGTGAAGTTCAAGAAAAAATTCACTTGAGCTAACTATATGGTAGAAACTAATAAATGTTATGGCTAGATTTCGAACTTTGTAGAAAAGACATCACATTCAAGTCTTGATTTACATTTTTAATTATATTTGATTGGATAATGGGGCATAATGTACTATTATTTAACAAAGTGTGCCAAACATCCGAAATTGAGATGAAGGCTTTGAAGCGTTGAGTTGAGGTGTGTCAAACATACTGCTACTAAGAATGTTTAACAAACAGAATGGAATTACAGAACTTGACAGAGGGAATGCACTAAACTAAAGAATTAGCATCATGTATCATCAGAAAGTGAAAGGACATTAAGCGAAAATGGAAATCATATCCAGGTAGATGTGAAAAGCATAGCTAACCATATCAAATGGGTCTGGCTGGGTAAAAGCAAGGCTACCCACATCCAATAGGTTCCCCAAAAGGCATCCATGGATGATTATCTTTGACACATAATGCCATCTGATGGATATAATGTTGACTCAGAGCTGGTAAATTTAAAGCCCAACAAAGAAGATAAAACTTCATACAGATAAAAGAACTGAATATAAATAATCTTTACGTAAAAATCACTTTGCATCATCACGTTAAAATAAAAAAATGATTTGTGACTTTGTGTATTTTGAAAATAATAGCACAATAAAAAAAGGCATTTCGCATACTCCAAATTCAAAACATATGCAGCATCTAGCTAAAATTTATGGCATGAAATTTTTGCATCGTGACCACTCTTCGAATTTTCTTATATTACTCCTAACTAACCACACAATAATAGGTAGATGAAAATGCAAAAAAAAAAAAACTATTCTCCACAATATAGATAGATAGATAAAAACAACTTCACAAGAAAGCATTATAGTTTTATTCAATACATATGTAATGTTTTACAAACGATCGATCACATCAAATGTGCAACAGACTAAACACATGCTGAATTTTGCTTAAAATTCAGGTCCTTCGCTTAAAATTCAGGTGTCGCTCTAATGTCCATATTAACTCTTCTTGTTAAACTTAATCTAAAGCAAAGTTTTCTCACATAATTAATGATTAATAAATTGCAGAGTCCAGATCATATAGTTTATTCACGGTTGAAAACACATAACAAATATAGAATCAACCCGCGAAAAATCCGTCGCTAATCTATCACAAATCCGTCGCTATTTTTGCGCAAAAATTTACCTCTAAAATTAGCTACGTATTTAACGACGAAAATTTTCTGTCGCAAATGCCGTCGCAAATCCCTCGTTAATCCGTTGCTAAATGTCAATTTAACAAAAAAACTAAAAATTGTCACTAAATTGTCGCTATTCCGTCGCTAAGTTAGCTACGGAATAAATCCGTCGTTATTTTCGCGTTTTTTTGTAGTGATAATTATCTACCTGCCCAAATACAAAGTAATTACAAGCAATATTCTTGTAGAAGTATAAACTGCTCATCCTACCTTTGCATTTTTCTCAAGTGTCCAACAAAGTCTTACTTTGAAAGGGAACACATATATATAAACATAAAGAACAAAGGAGTGAGTGTGGGAGAGAGTTCTTACACTGAGTTCAACGCGATGATCTGTTTCACTTGCTTGCTTTAGTTTGACAAATTTATCTTTCACGAACTTAACCCCTAACAGAATTGGGGATTGAATTACAATGCAAATCATCCAAAATGTTAAAAAAGCCAAATCAAACCAGAAGGTTACATACCAAAGTCGTCGTCAGAGCGAAAAAAAAAATAATAATAAAAAATCAAACAAATAAAACAAAAATTGAGTTGAATTGTGATAACACTCACAATTTCTCGCGCAGCTCCAATGCATATTATATTAAATCCAACGCATATAATGAACTGTTTCACATCAATGAACTGTTTCACGGAATAACTCATTCCAAGTTAACATATATTCTACTCTAGTTAAAATTTTGAACTAACTTCAAGAAGAAATCACTGAATTTTTAACTACTTCCTCTAGCAATGGAGATTTCTTAAGCTTGTTCCAACTCAAGATATACAAAATTGAATAAAAATGGAAAATCCAAGACTGAGTTTAGACCATTATTAGGAAGGGTTGTATAATCACTCAATGTGAGGAAAACCCCAAAGCCTGGTTTCCAAAGAGTGCATAATAATCCATTTAATAAGTCAAAGAAAGATCTATTTTCCAGTAAAATAAGGCTATCATGCAAACTCATATTGAATTCAAAATTCTAGTGAAGATAGGATATTGAAATGGCACACTGATACTACAATGAAATGTTTCAATTGAATGTTTAGTGCCTAAAGTTTGCCACTTGTATTACTGTTCCTAAGAAAGATCATGAATAAATAATTTCTACAGAAAGAGTATAACCTAGCCGCTTGTACTACCTGCTTGTATTTATAAGCCTAAAATCAAAGGAGTTTGCATCAGCGACTTTCTTGACAGCCTGAAAGCAAAAAAAAGAAATTTAGGATAAAAATTAAAAAGGAAGAGTCAAGAAGAACATAAAACATAAGATATTAACTAAGATTAGAATGCAACTCAGTTGTTTCGTCTCGAAGGAGTTTGCTGCCCAAATACAAAGGGAATGATTAGCATTACTCTATACAGTATGAATAATTCAATTGTACATATTCCAAGTGAAAAACTGTACAATCTTTGTATAGTTATATTATAGATTGCTTAAAATTACATTCCACCATTAATAGAATAAATTACTGAAAAAACACACTTTGGTTTGATATTTAAACTATACCTAGAAGGTCGTGTATGCAACTGTACCTTGCTTTGTTGATCTGAATTGGTTCTTTTTACACTATCTTCATTAAACTGAGAGGCAAAAAGAACAATGAATGCTTCCTTTGTTGATCTGAATCGGTTCTTTTTACACCTACGTTAAATTCCCCATAATCTATAAACAGTCATCGAAATTACATCATAAATAAAATTAAAAAAAAACATCAAATAAAATTAATAATAATAATAATAACAATTAGGGTTGTGGAAACATGATATGAGTCATTGTTAATAACCCAAGAAAAAAGTCTCCGAAGGAAGAGAATCTGTACAGCGAAGATTGGAGAAAATACACAGAGGAATTCCTGATATATACATATTTAGGAGATATGAATGAATGCTGAGGGAAAAAAAGTACAATTTGGGAGCATACCGTCGGGAGAACGTCGCAGCATACCGTCGGGAGAACCTCCTTCTGTTCTCCTCTGTGTTCTCCTCTTTGTTCTCCTCTGTGCTCGAAACATTGAAATTTCTTTGAGGTTTGGTGAGATATATTTAACGGAGGTTTGGTGAGATGTACTTAACGGTGAACTAACGGCAATTCTTAAAATTTTAACAGAATTAGTAACGGTGTGTGGGTATTAAAGGAAATTTTAGTGTAAAATTTTAATCTGATCAATTTTTTAATCAATCTGAGCCATCAGATCAATCTTTTAATCAATCTGAGTCATTCAATCGATTAAAATCTGTGACCGTCATTTTTTCTACCCATTATAGGCCTAATCTGATCAATTTTTTAATCAATTTGAACCATCTGATCAATCTTTTAATCAATCTGAGTCATTCAATGATTAAAATCTGTGACCGCCATTTTTTCTACCCATTATATGCCTAACTCTCTTGGGCTCTTATTAGTATAGTAGATTTTGTGAGGTTTGTTTAATGAGTTATAAATTGTAAAAATTATTTAAATTAATTAATTAATTTATATAAAATATATTTTGTGATTTAATTTTAAAAATCGTATGATATTTTTTGATGACTCGTATACTCAATATAATTTTTAAAAAAAATTATTAAGTGTCATCATATTTAAATTATTTTAGAAAAAAATACATAAAATTGATCTAGCTTAAAGAAAAATATTTATAAATATTATAGCAATATACGAGATGTGTGATTTATAATGTATTTTGTATCTGAACCATTTTATCTAATTAATTATGTTTCATATTTTGTTATGAATATTTTATTGTATTTTGAAGTATTTTGATTTCTCACTCCCAATCAAGAAGATTTCTAGCTCCGTGCAGTGTTTGTATGTTTTGTTTTATAAATTTTTATTAGGAAATTGTTCATTTCACATCCTGATTTTTACCTCCAAACTTTGTTCTAATTAATAATGTGGCTTTCATTCATTGGATGCCAATAAATTGGCTAACCCACTAATAACTAATAAAATAAATTTAATTACCAATCACATGATAACGCTTCAAGAAGAATAATATTGTCATTTTTGGGTCAAATGCAATCGATTAAATATAACAAGTGAAGAAGGTTGAGTTAGGAGTGTCAATCGATTTAATATTGTCAGTTTCAGGTCAACTTTGTCAAGTTATTAATTCGATTTTTTGTGTTAAAAATTTTTGGCCTATCTCTCTAATCAAATTTATCCAAATCTTAATATTCAGAGGTTGTTTGATACTTTCTCATCAATTAAATTTTAAGAAAATATTTTCCGGTAATATATTTGATGGGGGGGTATAATTTTACATGAATTTTTGTTGAGAAAATGAATTAAGTTGTTTAGAAACATAATAATTAAATTACTGAGAATTTAATTAAAATGTTAAGTTTGTTTAAACTTTGTAAAATGTTTTTTTTTTTGAAAGTTACTGGTCCTATTACATTGTAGTATCTGTTCATATACTTTCTCAACCTGCTGAAACACAAAGAACCAATAACGCCTCCACTGAATATCCTTATTATATAATGTTTAATATATCCTTATTATATAATAATTGTTTAAAAAATAAAAACATAACTGAGAGTTTAAAAAACTACTTGTAAATATATATACATAGGAATATCAAATTGAATAATTATTACATTACATCATTAAAAAATCAATTCAAAATACTACAACTTTGCAGTTTATCACATATTGACATTAGGAAAAATTGTCAAATTGATCCCCTAAATCAAGTGGATAGTGCAATTGGGTCCTCTAAATGAAAAAAGCCCAATTCAAGCCCTCAAAATTGCTAAAATTGTTCAATTAAGCCTAATTTGACTTGTTTATCAGGTTAAATCGATACGGTGTTGACACATTTTTTAAAACAAATATTTTTTATTGATTAAAAAGAAAAAATATATATTTATTATAAATAAATTAATTAATTGAAAAATAGAAAAAAAATTAAAAGAAAAAGAAAAAATAAAAAAAGCAACCACAACCGACACTTCCCTCTCCCTCTTGCAAGGCGGCTCGACGACCTCTATCGAGACTTCCCTCCGACGAGTAGAGCAGCGGCCGGACAGTAGTAGATCAGCGAGAAGTAGATGGCAACCTCTGTTTCTTTCCAGCGAGGCAGGTGCGGCGGTCAACAACAACATCTTTTTCCCGGCGAAGCTTGATGGCGGTTGGACCTTTTTTCAGCGTGAACATGGGCGA